GATCCTTCATTTTGCACCAATAAATTAAAAATAGCAAGTCCATAATTCTAAATTTTGTCCTTCCAAAACGTTGGTGGTTATTTGGTTAAAAATCAATCATTATTGTATACCTCTTATTACAATCGTTCGATGACCTAATGAAAAAACATATTTATAAATAGAGAACTTAATTGATAATGGTTCCATAAAATAGTCTTCAAAAATTAATTAAGTAGAGAAAATTCAAATTTGAATCTAACATTCCCACTCTCTAATTTCGTTACCAAAAGAGAAAATGAAGCCAATAATCGCGATGTACCTAGGTTTGATTATCAGCATGGTACTAATAACAAATAGCCAATCCCTTCCAAATACACAATTAGAGACTAATAATGCAAATCACATTAATATAGATCCATGTAAAAGCGCAAATCCACCTCCGGACTGCCAGGCAGACCCAAACGGCAAGCTAACCGATAGCCAGGCTAACCCGTATGAGCGTGGATGCTCGACAATTAATAAGTGCGAAAGAAGCGACTGATCGATCGAGCTAGCTACATTATATTACTCGCCATTGAAAAGCGCTACCTAGCAAAGCTTTCGTATAAATAAACCATTGAGATGATGAACGTAACGTACTGCTATTTGTGTTTTGAAATAATGAAATTTTGATAAATCAATCAAATTAAAACATGCATGTGTATGACGACCTTGCGTGTGTACGTCCTCTTAAGCATGAGATTTTAATTGAAATTAGAAAAAATTATATTGTATCAATTTAATTTGTGGTATTGTTACTCTACAAAACTAAATTACACTTGTATTCAGTTTTGATTTTTGAATGCTATATAACGATTTGGTCGATTATCCCCATTATGTATTATTTAATTGTGTTTTATTTCCAGTGTTTTTATTTAGTCACAATACTTTCATTTATTGCACTATTTAGTGACTTATAATTTTTTTTTCAAAAAACATAGTCATATGGAATTAATTCATCTGCCATTCAGCCCTATCATTGATTTGTTAGTAAATTTTTCTTTGGGATCGTACAGTTATTAAATTTTCAAATACACTAGGGCAGCCAACGCGCGCGTTGCGCGCGGAATGGCTAGCCTTTGCAACTGAATTTTACTTGTCTTGTGTTTGCACTTCACATGGAGGAATAAAAGACCGGCAAAGGAATATACTACCTCTGGTTCAATTTACTCGCAACAAAGGAATATCTTATATCTCACAAATAATACTCCTTTGTTGCGAGTAAATTGAACCGGAGGTAGTATTTTTATTGCTTAAGCATTGTTTGTTTGTAGTCGTGCTAAGTTGAATGTTACGTGTAAAATATCTCGTATGTTGAAAAAAAATCTTTATTTTTATTATTTGTATATGGTGATTCTTTTAATTGGGATACTATGTAGAGTCACAGTAGAATATAAATTTATTAGGTTTTTCAATGATAATACAAAAAAGGAACAAATGTTAGAATTGTTGTTTGTTTATTTTCGCAGTGTTCATATTAACATTACTTAATTGTGGTGGTACAATACAAAATAGAGAAATAATCATCAATGATGAAATCAAAACGACCAATTCCTAATCCACCACAGAGGCTAACAATATTAATCAATGAGTTCATTTCATCCATCACAGAGGCTAACAATATTAATTAATCAATGAGTTCATTTCTAATTTAAAAGTACAATCCTTCTAGATGAAACCGAAACAACTAATTCCTTCACACACTTATGCCCAACCGTACATGATATGTATATATATATATATATTATACTAAAGCAGCCTATATATCCACCTATCAAGTCCAGTCTAATCAATGAGTTCTTAGACTATAGAAGTCTTGTATAGTGTATAGTGACTAAATTCAAGTCTAGACTAAATTATGAAATTAATTTTATCGTACACTAATGAATTGCTCATATGCTAAAATAATGATCTTTAATAGAATCCCAGTGTGATCCTATCATTACAGATTATGAAGTTCATTAGTTCAAAATCCATAGTAGAATGTTCTTAACTTTATGATAATCCTGTTTAAATCTATGGACTTTGCTCCCTAAAAATCCGTCCACCCTCTTCCACCGCCTCCCCCTCTCCCCTCTCCCTTCTCGAGCGCCCCTTTCTCAGTGTTCCCGTTTCCAGACCATCGACCGCGAAAAGGTCCTTGTTATTTATTCCTTTTCCGCTATATATTAGTATTGTCAACTTTTTTTTGCCACAATTTGATTTGGAAATTTTGGGAAGGTGGTGAACAAAGATGTGGAATTTAGTACATGGAAATGGCAATGATAGTGTGGAGAGAGAAAGTTAAAACCTTTCAAGAGATGGATTCATGGAGAGGAGGAGAGAAAACTCAAATGTGTAAGGAAATGAAGACGGGTAAGAACAATTTGAATTTGGACTGTTGGAGTACAAAATTACAAATAGGGGTACAAAGGTATAACACATTTTGAAGGGTAAATAAGGGTACAAAGGTAAAATAACATTTTAAAGGATACAAAAGTCCGTGCATTATTCATAAGAACAACTTTCTACTTTTTATAAGGTAGGGATTTAAAAGAATCAAATGAAAATCATTTTCATGTCTGTAATGAATTGTTAAAACCATATCTCCAAAAAGGTTGTATATTTTAGCAATGTGTGCGAGGGATGTAGCATAGTGCAAGATTTATTCAACGCCCGTTGTTTTGATTTAGGAATCCTTTATTAGGTTCTATATGTATTTATTGAATTTAGATTTCATTATAGATGTAGTATGACTTTTTATTAATAAATTGATTTAGTATTAAAACAAAAAATTAGATTAGACCAGATCAAATCATATTAGTTAAAAAAAATAGATCAAATTAGATGATATGAATTGAACATAGTTGTAGCATGAAGCAACTTTAAATAAAGGATCATTTAGATAGAAAATGGAGCAAATAAAAAAAGATAAATACAAAAACGAATTCTATTTGAAACCAAAATAAGAGTTTATCTACAAATTCTTAAATGGACCTGGTTCACACTAATTTATCATGGATCACTAAAATTAGGGAAATTATGGTTGTTTTATTAGTAAAAAAAAAAGGGTCACTATAATAGAAAAAAGGTCTCTATGTTGAAATAAATTAAAAGTCATTTTGGTAATATATAGGCTATTAGAGGTTAATTTTTTAATGTAATATTTTATATATTGGTTAATATGAATAATAAAGGTCGCTATGTTAAATTTAGGGTCATAACGTTGTATTTTAAGTTCACAATAATATTAAATGGTATACTAGATTTAATAAAGGTTAATATGTTAAAAATAAGGTTACTATGTAAAAACTAAGGGTCACTATGTTTAAAATAATGTAAGTTGCGTGTGTATAAATCTCGGGTCCAAAATAACATTATTATGGACCAAGTCCACGCAAGTCTTTCTAGAGTTTATTAGGTTAAATTTGGTCTAGTGGAAATAAGAGCACCTTTCAACTATAAGGTTTGAGATTTAATCGCCACAAATAAATGATAATTTTTTTTTTTGGGGGGGGGGGGGGTTGAGATTCTCTTACTTTCCCCCATTCTCCCTAATTGTCTAGCCTTCTAACCCGAGAAAAAAAGCCCTATCAAGTCGAAACATCTCACAGGTCAATTAGGCGGTTTAACAGGCTAAGCCCTTTGAGAGTGGAGGAAAAGGGTAAATGAATTTCAATAAGTCTACTATGGACCCTGCTGCAGCTACAATAGATGGACCACTCATTTTACGCGGCCCACTCACTTCAAACCTCATTTTATGCAGCCCAAACACATGAATTTTTATTCTTTTGAAATTTCACTCCAACAACTTCTCACTCCTCTGCACATCCATTTTGAATATTTTCTCTTTCAATTGCTGAACAACTTCTCACTCCTCTTTAAATTCATGAATCACCATGGAAGAAAAACAAGAAAAAGATGAAGAAAGGTAAATTAAATTCATTACAATACTTAAACTCATTTAAATTTCGTATAATGTATATAAATTTATGCAAAATTCTTAAGTTTTTACAAATACAATTAAATTTTAGAGTAGTGATTTGAGTTAAGAGTAGTAATTTGTTTATTTTCATTGAAATTTTAAGAGACTCGATAAATTATTCTACATGTAGTGATGAAGATGAATTGTTGAATCTAACATGATCGATTTTAAGGCGTGCAGTTGTACATTGCAATTGTTCAGATATTTTTACTAAATGTTCAAAATTTGCGATGTTCGGATTTTTTTACTAAAATGTTTTTGCAATTATTCATATTTTTATACTAAATGTTCAAAAGTAAAGGCGTGGTACATTTCGATTGTTCATATATTTTTACTCAATGTTCAACTTTTGCGATGTTCGGATTTTTTTACTAAATGTTCAAAATTTGCAATCGTTCAAATTTTTTTACTAAATGTTCAAAAGTATAGGCGTGGTACATTGCGATTGTTGAAGTATTTTTACTAAATGTTCAAAATTTTCGATGTACAGTTCAAATTTTGCAATCATTTAGATTTTTTTACTAAAAATGTTCAAAAGTATAGGCATGGTATACTGCGATTGTTCAGATATTTTTACTAAATGTTCAAAAATTTCAATGTTTAGTTCGGATTTTTTGTACTAAATGTTCAAAATTTGCAATTGTTCAGAATTTTTTACTAAATGTTTTAAAGTATAGGTGTAGTACATTGCGATTGTCATATTTTTACTAAATGTTCAAAATTTTTGATGTTCAGTTCAGATTTTTTTTTTTACCTAATGTTCAAAATTTGCAATCGTTCACTTTTTTTTTACTAAATGTTCAAAAGTATAGACGTGGTACATTGCTATTGTTCAGATATTTATTACTAAATGTTCAAAATTTTCGATGTTCAGTTCGGATTTTTTTTTTACTAAATGTTCAAAATTTGCAATGTCCAATTTTTTTTACTAAATTAATCGATCAAATTAATGACAACAATAAAAAAAATATCAATTAATCGATCATAATGGATTACGATTGAAATCGGTCAGAGAAGAAGATGTAAAGATGTAGGAAGAAAAATGAGTTGAGTAGAATTGTATTTTATTTATAAAGAGGTGTCTTTTAGGAGGTGCCGAGATGGTCCATATATTTTAGATGGAAAAGTGTTCACACAAGAATTTGTAAATAAATTCCCACTTTAAATTAGCTCTAGCTGGGTTTGATATCACAACCTTTTTTATTTTATTTTTTTGGTGAAATGATGCTACACGGCCCACACCATTTTGATTGTGAGATGACAAAGTCGGAGTTTGGAACACGCCCAATATTCACTCTATGGGTCGGGTCGGGTCGGGTCGTTTTCTAATTGATACTGAACCCATTGATTTCACCTGTTTAACAAGCCGCCTTCCTCCTCCTTATACGGTGGTGGGCGGCGATTCTAATTCAGGAGTTGCCGAATTCGAATGAATTGGAAGTGAGAGAATTCTTGATCCGAATTTCCTGCTATGAATTTGACGAATCATCAATCGGAATTTACAAACCCTAATATTAGAAATGATGATGGTGATGACGATTCAGGTAAATAATTTATTATGCATTATTCATGTTTATAAGAATTATTTTTTCCTGTAATTTGATTAATCTCCATTGATTAAACTAATAGTTTATTGATAATTGCAATTTGTAGAGTAATTTAGACGAATATTCTGGAAATTTGACCTCAAAAATGAGTAAATTAGATAAATTTCTGGCAATGTGTTGAGTAATTTAGATGAATGTTCATAAAACTGAGTTCTGTATATTAGATGAATTCTGGTAATTTGTGAAGTAATTTTGATGAATTTTCTTGTGATTTGACCGCAAAACTCAGTTAAGATTAAATTTTTGGTAATTTGTGGAGTAATTTAGATGAAATTTGCTGTAATTTGATCACAAATCTGATTGAAACTATTATAGATGAAGTTAAAGTAAGATGTTGGGATCAAAGAGAAGCAGAACCAGGGGAACCTCGTTGTGTGATTTGTGGCAGGTATGGGGAGTACATTTGTGATGAGACAGATGATGATGTTTGCAGCTTGGAATGTAAGAAGAATCTTCTGGAAAGGATTGCCAAGGCAAAGTTTCCCTCCACTCTTCCTGTGCCGAATCCGATACGATTGCCTGTTACTGATGAGTGCATCTATGTTAAAGGTTCTGGTTCCGAAAATGGGTCGAGCTCCTGTGGTCTGTCTGATAAACAGACTGCAGTGCTGAGAGAAAGACTTGATGTTTCTGTTAAGTGTGGCTCTGTTCCTGCACCTGTTTTGTCATTTTCGTCGTGTAATCTTCCAGTGAAGTTACTTCAGAACATTGAATCGGTTGGGTATGAAGTCCCGACACCGGTGCAGATGCAGGCGATACCTGCTGCATTGGAGGGCAGTAGCCTTCTTGTTTCTGCTGAGACAGGTTCTGGGAAAACTGCTTCGTATTTGATTCCAATTATTGCTCGTTGTGTGAATTCTTCTTGTGATCGGTTGACTGAGAAGAAGCCGTTGGCAATGGTTCTTACTCCGACTAGGGAGCTGTGTGTGCAAGTTGAGGAAGAAGCAAAGCTGCTTGGAAAGGGTTTGCCTTTTAAGACTGCACTTGTGATTGGTGGTGATGCTATGGCCGGTCAGGTTTACCGCATTCAACAAGGTGTTGAACTGATTGTAGGAACGCCAGGAAGGCTGGTTGATCTGCTAACTAAGCATGATATGGAGCTGGATAGTATATCTATCTTTGTTGTTGATGAAGTAGACTGTATGCTTCAGAGAGGCTTCTGTGATCAGGTTATGGAGCTCTTTAGGGCTCTGTCATACCCCCAGGTTCTGATGTTTTCTGCTACAATGTCTGCTGAAGTTGAGAAGACGGCACACTCAATGGCAAAGGCCTTGGTGATTGTATTTGTTGGAAAGCCAAATAAGCCAAAAATTGCTGTAAAGCAGATAGCTATATGGGTGGAATCAAAACACAAAAAGCAAAAGCTGTTTGACATATTGATGAGCAAGCAGCATTTCAGGCCCCCAGTGGTTGTATTTGTGGCTTCAAGGCTGGGTGCAGATCTCTTAGCTGAGGCAATCAGCGTTACAACTAAGATCAAAGCTCTCTCCATCCATGGGGAGAAATCCATGGGTGAAAGGAGAAAGATAATAAGAGGTTTTTTAATGGGTGAGGTATCTGTGCTAGTAGCAACTGGATTATTGGGACGTGGGGTGGTTCTCGTGAGCGTGAGGCAGGTCATAGTGTTTGACTTGCCAAATTCAATCAAGGAGTATGTCCACTTGATAGGCAGAGCCTCTCGACATGGAGAGGAGGGGAACGCAATTGTGTTCATAAATGAGGAAAACAAGAAATTATTCCCAGAAATTGTTGATGTATTGAAATCAGCTGGAACTGTTGTCCCAAAGGAGCTTGCCAATTCAAAGTACACAGCGTGTCCTGTTTCCATTAACAAGAACCAAAAGAAAAGGAAACATGGTGGTTAAAATATGTATATCTTGTCTTACACTGTATGTTCCAAAGGTCCTATTTGGCAACTTGCAATGATCTTGGTGGCTGAGATAAAATAGTTGTCTGTCGCCTGGCCAGAGGTACATCAATGTGGTACTCTAATTTAGAGTTCCAGAAATGCAATTTTGCAGTGAAAATACTGCAAGTATGGCTTCTACCATTGAGCTCCAGTATTGATTGTCTAATTGACATACTCCATATTGTAGAAGTCATTTTCCCTTTGGGGTGCATGTCCTTAGGCTATTCTTTGTGAAATCTGAAATTCGAAGCTGATTGTGGCGCACCAGGGAGACAAAGTTGATGATTGCTGGTCAAGCATCTGCCTTTCACTCTTTCCTGGAGTGGGTCAAGATGGAGATGCAGCGCATAAATGCCACTGCTTTGCTAGACTTTAATTCTTATACAGAGTAATTTTTATACAGAGTCAGCCTCAAAACCGATGAATTTTTTTGTGTGAGTTGCAAGGCTGATGGGTCCCTAACAGCCATCGATGATAATTGAAGAAGATGTTAATGCTTCATAAATCATTTAGGTGTCCAAGGAATTGCTTATTTGAAGTTTGATGAAGAAACCATAAATGGAAGCAAATTTCATCGTCATCAACCTTGTGGTTTCTGGTATCTATCAGTAGGTTTGACTGTTGGCAAGAAAGTTGTAGTTGATTTCTTTCTGCTTGTTTTGAGAGCTTATGTTTTTTTGTCTAGTTGATTTGCTTGGTCATGGGCTCATGGCAATGTAGGTAATGTTAAGATTGTTTCACTAACATTCAATGCCTTGAGTTATCATTGACACAGCGACCTTGTACCATACTCGCCTGTTAGTTATGTTTGTAAAGAGAGCATGATTTTGCTGGTGCTTGCAACAGCTACCACTTACTACTTGTCTATTAATCTGTAATATTCGGAACTTGACCTGACTACTAAATCTGAGCTACACGGAGGTATGATATGCATTCATAGTTCGCATCTTCAGGAAGAGTTTATTGCTTAAACTTGCTAGTGCTCTTGTTTATTGCCAGTTTGGATGGAATTGGAGTAGTGGAAATACATGATAATTTGTTTTGTGATGAAATTGAGCTTTCTAGCCATATTTACTACTTTATTTTAGCTCATATGCTCTGTTACAATTATGATTTTCATATAACATGATAGATCTAATTTATCATCCCAAGTTCAGCCCATTTGATATTAATCGGGGCGCCCCATAGTCTCTGTGGGATTCCCAGAGCCTGCCAAACGGCCACAGATGCAGCAACAATGTCACGCCCACAAGGAGGATGATAACCGTCTTCTGCATTACATCCCTTTGTAGAATCACACTCACCAACTACTTTAGCTACCAAAATCTGCCTATTGCCCATTATCACGATCCGGTTCCCACATCGAGCCCCACCTTTGTACCACCCAGTTGATAGTGCAACCACCAGTGACCTGTCCGAGTGGTTGCTAGTGTTGTTGCACTTGGACTGGCTATTCTGAAAGCTTTTCAAGGCGAGGATTCCCTCTGTTCGAGGGGTTACTAAAGGGGAGCATTCAAAGGTGAAGTAAACATTGTTTTCGACACAGCACTTGTATGTGCATTGCCCTGGTGGAGAACTTTGAGCTCTAAAGTGCCCTGTTGATCTGCAATCTTGCCCTTCAACTTGTACACTAAAAATTACAAGTAACAATACAAATAAAAACCATCTGCTAATACAAGTATTATTATACATAGCAGTCAGTACTGATTTTTATTTTATGCTTTGATGTTTGATACAAAGGGATATACCATATACATATATATATACTCCACAAAGGAGTGGACTTGAAATAATTTACTACACTTGCACATTAATCCACTACTTTCTAATGTATTAAACTATGATTAATGGGTAATCTTTACTATTATTGCACATTCTAGTCAATTTTTGGGGAGCTGCGCTACTCCAGAGTCAGACCTTGATGAAATAAAATAGTGTTCATGGCCAAAACACCCTTTTTTCCATTTAAGAGTGTGATATAATTCATATCTCAATAATAAAAAATAAAAAAAATACAAATATGCCCACTAAACTCCAAGTCAAATCACTATAAGATTTATCCCAATGATTAACTTATGCTTCTTTTAAATAAAGTTAATAACAGATTATTTTCAATGAGTTTGGATCATAAATTGCGAGGACAAAAAAAATTTAAAGTTTATCCGGATTCATTTATAATCCGTTATAAATACACATTAAAATATATTGGAGTATTATTCAAACCAATTACTTTCGCACCAATACTTTGTTTTGGACAAATCTATAAAAAAAAAAAAAAAAAAAAAAAGAGAGTTTTTAGGAATTTGTTAAAGGTTTTAAGAGGTTTAGTAATCAAATCTGTCAAAGAAAATAAATACAATGTCTAAATAGACGCGTTAAGAGACATAAAATAATAGAACATAAAATCAATGATAATAAATCAAAGAACAAAGATCAAAGTAATAGTGGCATATATGAGTAAGGAAGAAGTATTTCTGACTATGGACAAAATTATATTAGAGATTTTAGTATAAAAGTGTTGTAGATTGTACTAGATAATGTATGAATGAATAAATGAATTCTATTACAAAGAGCATGCTATTAATAACTTGTAAAATCTAATAAAGGTATTTATTGAAGAATCTTTATTGCTTTGGCAATGCTGACAATATTGATTGGCATTTTTATGTTTTAGGAAACATTGACTTAGTTGATTGATGTTTCCTTGATTCGCTCCCTCGATCATGGGATGTAATTGTGCTTGTAGCCTAAGCATTCATTACGAGTCGTCAAATGGTCCGAACTTTAAAGAGAAGCTGCCTTTCTCAGAATGGCGGTCGATTTACTCAAAAAGGTGCAGTTAAAACTGTAATTTCCATACTCATCAATTGGGACCACTACACGAATAATATTTCGTTAATTAAGTGATTTGTTTCCTTCATTATTTAGCTTTAATTGATTTATTCTATAGTCTTAATTTATTTCATAAGATCTTTAATTGACTGTCTACTTCTTGATTGGACCAATCAAATCCTTAATTGATGAACTATGATTCCATTGAATATTCTTTGATATCTTTGATCATGTATGTTTCCTTTTTCCAGCTCGTTTCCTTATTAATTATTATGTGTAATTGAGCTATTGATTAATATTTTTCCAAATTAAAACCAAAATTCCAAATTTGTTCCTAGAATCCACTCCCAACACTTTTAGATTTGAATTTGGGTTTGAAATTATCATCAATCAATAAGGGTATGTTCTCATTGACTGAACTCAGCTGAACTGAACTGAACTAAACTGAATTGAGCTGAACTGAACTGAACTGAACTTAGCTGAACTGAACTGAACTGAACTAAACTGAATTGAGCTGAAGTGAACTGAACTGAACTGAACTAAACTGAATTGAGCTGAACTGAACTGAACTTAGCTGAACTGAACTGAACTGAATATTTTATAAGAGAAGAAAATTAGGAGCTGAGCTGAACTGAACTGAACTGAATTGAGCTGAACTGAACTGAATTTCAACGTAAGAGAACAAGCCCTAACTATATACTAAAAGACACACCAGCAGTGACACGTGTCATCTCCTGGTGTGTCCTTATTTTTTTATTTTTTAAGAAACAAATCTCATACAAATATAGCTCTCTAAATTTATACAATATAATTACTTAAAATAAAAAAAGATTTGACATATTTAACACAAAATATTTTTATAGCTATGAAAAAAACATTCTTAACATAAGTCTGATAACTTTTTACATCATTTTATACCTGTAATCCCTTATTTTGATCAAAATTTGTCAACTATATTTTTAAATTTTATTTTGTTTAATTATAAATTATAATGATAGTTTAAATATGATTATTGAAAATTCAACTAACCTTCTTTCAAAAAAAAAAAAAAAAAAAAAATCAACTAACCTAGTATTACTTTATTTTGTAAGAATGTGATTGGTCACTGTCTCAAGATAAACAGAGCTGAAAAAAAACAAGTGATTGATCCCCCCCTTTGATCTTGTTATTGAAGATATTAAGGCTATTGGGAACAATTTTAGTTTCTTTAGTATTAATCATGTTAGACGTAGTGGTAATGTAGTTGCGCACTTCGCTGCGAGATTACTCCCTCCTAGTGGGTCGGAATTTGTTTTTCTTGACTCTTTTCCTCAAGGTTTAATGGCCTTCGCGGATATTGATTTGGTGTGATTAATAATATTCCCGATTGCCGTTCAAAAAAAAAAAAGTCTTCCAGCATGTTTTGCACAGGCGAACGATAAGGCAATGATGTAATACCGGGGGCATTATTCAAGGTGCAAGCCCACAGGTTGAATTTTAGGGATAATTTATCTAAATTTTACATTTATTTATTTATTTTTTGACAAAGGGATTGCTTATCTAATTATACTCCGTGATTGACTTTTTTAAAAGAAAAAAAAAATCAGAATTCATAAAAATAAAAAATAAAAATTCATATAATACTCCCTCTATTTTTTTTTTTTTTTGTAAAAAGCTACACTTGTTATTTTTCATTTTTTTTAAGCTACATTTTGTTTTTTTAAATCCCTCAAAAAAATTAATACTCCCTCCGTTTCAATTTGTTAATCCCATATATTATTTTGGGCGTTTCAAAAAGATCTACCCATATTGAATGTATTCTACTTTTAACTTAGTTTTTATTTCCTATTTTATACCGATTAAATTATGATTGGTTAAATTAATGATTGTGCATTGATGACATGAGTCTAAGTAAAAAAAATAATTCCCTTGAATTATGTAATTATATTGACGGTTTCCTAAAAAAACAAAAAAAGTTTAAATAAGGCAAAAATATTTATGAATTGTTTTTTACTTTAATGTTAGATTCCAAATATTCTTTTTTTCTTATTTTATATGATAGATTCTATATTTTTTTTTTTTGAAAACTACTAATATTTTATGTGATAGATTCTATATGAGACTATCATATCATATTGAAACGGAGGGAGTAATGTTTTTATGTAATAATAATAATGTCCTTATGTCCTACTTTTTATTTCTTTACTCATTATTTTTCTCTTTTAGTGATCTTCTCTTTCTTATATCACTTTATTTTTTGGTAAAATAATAATTTTATCTACCTTACTAATATTTTACTTTTTTTTTTTTTTTTTTTGAAAACTACTAATATTTTACTTTATTAAATCTCCTGAAAATTGTGCATAATCCACACTTCAGCTAAAAATAAAAAAAAAAACAGTGGATGAGGGATTATTCAGAAGGGGTTACAGATCAAATAGATGTAGATGAGGGATTAAGATTAACGTGGTTATCTATTTATAGAAGGGAAAAGTGCTCCGCTTACTGCGTGTAAGATAAGTGGTTAATAAAATTATAATAGTGAAAAGCAGAATTGTAGATCACTTATCCACTTATCCTTGCGCCCACAATAACCTATGACTGTCCTAGGCGTCTTTTGTGCATCTTGTCTAGTAGAGTACTATATTCCAAGTACTGTATGAAATATCCATTGTGTTTTTGATGTTCTCAACTTTTATTTACGGTATTTATTTAATGGAAAATGCTATACACAGTAACACAACTCTTAGTGCTACATATGCACATTAAATTTACACTTAAAAATCGTAAAAAAAGTTAAGAAATCATTAAAATATAAACACTAATAACACTGATTTACGCGTGTTTTTGTAGTGAATTCCTAATTTTATACAATTTCCAAGAGTATATTTAATGCTTATATATAGCCCTTAAGGCTACATATAACATTACCTTATTTAATTAATACAGTACCTTTTAGAATAAATTCAATAAATTGTTCATTTTTTAAAAAAAAAAAAAAAAAAAAAGTATGGAGAAGAGTCTGAATATAAATAAGAAGAATGGTCCTATAAAATTGGTACCTTTCACAAGTGTATATAGTCCCTCTTGATTAGGTCTTTTGAAAGTAGGGGGAATTTAAAAAGGTAAGGAAATCTTCACTTTAAGGTGTCACAAAGGAGCTGAATCTCTACTTCACTTTAGGGTATTTCGGGTATCAAAGTGTCTTATAGTCTATTTCTAATTGTTCAAAAATTCATGAGGTGTGACCCAGAAAAGCCCGCCGTACTTTCAAAATTGAGTGTGTACTTTATAGAGAGATATAGTAGAGAGAACGAGGGAGATTTAGAAAAAGTTGCCATCATTAATCATAGGGTAATAATTTATAGATATACTTTCTCCGTTTTTTTTTATTTGACCCGCTTTGACTTTTACACTATTCATCATCCCTCATTTGACCGTCTTTTGTGAATGATATATAAGGAAAAATATATTCATGTGGTACCCTTTTGAATTTTTCTCAGTAAGTATTATCATAATATACAACTTTTATAATTTTTACTTATGGAGAACTAAAGTTTTTGATCGTTAAAGTTTTGCATTGACAAGCGTGATAAAAGAAACAAGTCAAGTAAAAAAGAACAGAGGAAATAGTTTTCAGGTGGTAAAAAATGTACTTTAGTGGGCAACTTAGGGGTAAATCAGTATTTTATGATAATTAATGGATGGTTAAGGATAGTGGGTTGGATCATGGAGGGGAATTTTTTTTGTCATTTCAAGTACATTGGGCTTAGGACATGGACTAGGCCCAAATATTTTTTGAATAGTAATTGCTCATTATTTTTTTTTTTTTGAATAGTAATTGCTCATTATTTTGGTTAGTTATTAACTCTTGATTTTGAGAAATACAAGTAACTCCAAGTAATTTGTGACATATATTGATTGTTTTTTACAAGTATATAGAGAATGATGTGCAGCTCTTAAGCCCTTTTCACTTCATCTTAAAAAAATAATATTCAGTTTAAATAATTCCAATTAAGTAAAAATAATTTCAGTTCTGGATAAATAAGTTTAGTTCAACAAAAATAATTTCAGTTCAGTAAAAATAATTTCAGTTCAGCAAAAATCAGTAAATTTTAAAAATAAATATAATAGAAAATCAATAAAAAAAAATTATAATTTCAACTCAGAAAAATTAATTTAAGTTCAGCATAAATAATTTCAGTTTAGTAAAAATAATGCTAGTTCAGCAAAAATAAGGTAAAGTGAACGGGACCTAACTTAATTTTACTTTCAAGCTTAATATAATTTTGTAAGAAAAGCTAAAATTATTATTCATAGCAAAAAAAAATGAAAATTACTACGGAGTAATAATATCTATTAACTATTATTAAAACAAAACATTGCTAACATCATCAACCTAACAACCCAATTTCCCTCCACATCTATTTGTGATGTCATCGATTATTAACTTTTTTTTTTATCTACATTATATATTATATTTTTCAAGCAAAAAATAATTGCCACTCTTTTACCTAAATGATAAAAACTTTTTTTTATGCACAATAATAAAATTATTTTAATAATTTATAAAAAAAAAATACAATTACTATTCATATTACTCCTTTATTTTTGTATTGACCTTTAATAAATAGCCCTTTATTAATAATTGAATTATATTTTTTTCCTACGAAATTAATTATTTAATTTATAAACCGTGCGCGAGCATTAAGCTACTTTGTATTACTCGTATAACGGTATAACCTAAAAACAAACGAACATAATTCATTCCATATTACACACTCGTCCTCTACTCCTCTCTATATAATTTTTATTACTCCATTAATATTATATCCCCGTCAATTTTATTCATTAATTTTAAATAATTATATATTGCAAGTAACTTGTCAAACTTACCTAATATTCCTCCTTGTTGACACACAAACCTCATCATAATAGTATAAAATCACATCACATCATGTCTATACCAATTTATAATTATCCATTAAAAACTAAAAGCATTTGTCAAAAAAAAAAAAAAAAACTAAAAGCATAAAATAAATTATCATAAATTATCTCTAGAATATCTTAAAAATAGCTCTTTAATACATCCCACTCCTAATAATAATAGATGTAATAATGTTACTCATATAAAAAAAATAAAAAATATCCTCAATCATTGAAATTATTTTAAGATAACTTTCACCTCTTTAAAACCAACACAAATCCTATCACCTTACGACACTCACTCACCCTCATCCCCCACCTCCACCAAACCCCTTTAAATCCCCCACTAAATTTCCTCCTTTTATTATCCTTAACAAAAATTACAAAAAATAATTAATGGCAATTTCAATTTCTCAAACTAAACCCAATTTCTCTCTCCTCTCTTCTTCTTCTTCTCGTAAACCTCTGAATATCATCAGTTTTAATAATCGGTGTTTTCCGGTTAATCGGCGCCGGAAAACGCAGGTGAAGTGTTGCCTGAACTTGCCGTTAGAGCCTCAATCGGAGTTAGGAAGATCGTTGAGTAGTGTTGTTCTGAATCAACCTCATTCTTTTTACGACGTCGTTTCGGTTGAATTGAATCGTGTTGTTGAAGATCGTGATGCTGCTTTTGCTCGTTTTGATCTTAGCTTGGGCTCTTCTGAGGCTTCGCTTCATAGGTTTTTCTCTCTCCTCTTTTTTTTTTTTAATTTTGGTAGTATTATTTAATTAATGAATTTTGCTTGGATTTTTGTTAATTATAATATGATAAGTGATAAGTAATTTATAAATTTTGGTTGATAATTTAAAGCTTATTTCATGCTGTTAATTTGTTGGTCAATATATAGCTTGACTTGACCTTATCCTTTTTTCGTGTTTTCTCTTTCCTATTGTTTAATTAATTATTACGACGCTTTAAGATAATCGTACATGAGTGTGATCTTAACTTTTTCGTAGTGAAAAATCGATATCATTAATCAATAGTGGAAGTGTCAAACCTGAGTAAACCAGTAGTCCAGTACGTCTCCATATATGGATATCTATTTGTTGCAATTAATATGAAATGTAGCGTGTTGTAATTAATATGAAACGGAAACTAAATTGTTAACAAGTTGTCTGTTATCTTGCTTTTTGTAATTGATAACTATGATAAGGATATGCTCTTTTCAACTAGTTCTGGTTGAATTAAACTAATTTTTGATTAAATGGTTTTGTCGTTTTCATATTATTTTATTTCAACTTGACATATTTAGTGTAGAATCTCTACGTTCCCAAGGCTTTTCACATGGAAGTTATCTTCATTGAACAAAACAAGAAGTGTTGAGCTAATAGTAATTACTCCATTAATTATGATTTATTACTAGTACTTATTGATAAATAGTATCGAATTTACGAATTAAGAAATCAAGCTTAATTTTATAGGGAGTTGATTTCCAGTTTTGGTGCATCTCTTCACATGGAAGCGTATTAAGGCGAGCTCAAGCCGGGAAACTTCTTAGTTCTTACATGTTTAGGTTAATACACTACAAGCTATTTCCTCCGTCCCTTAATACAAAGCCTCTTTCTAGCATTTAATTTTGGGACGGAGAGAGTATTACAAAATTGGTTGCTGAACACGCCTATAACCAACCTTTACAAATTTATCTAATTTTTTGCTTCTTTTATCCTCGAATGTTTTGTATATGGTATAATTCATGAGATAAGGCTTAAGATAGACTTTCCCTAAGCCACCAAAGCAATGGGGGGTTAGTAGAAGTAATAGTAGGGATTTGAGGTAGGGGTATGTTTTTCTAATGTCCCAAAATTTGTGTAGTTTCATTCGGTTTGAATTAATTTAATTTTTATGGATGCACAGTACACAAACCACTTTCCACACCTTAAGTACTTGGTATTATATGCCATTCCATTCCCTAATTAGCATTTGTAATGATCTATGAAGACTCGTGAGTTAAACCTTTTATTTATTGCATCTAGCAAGGTAACATAGGAGATGAAAGTATTATTTTGATTGCTTGCAAGCGATGTTTACTACACTGACGTAATCAACTTAAGTCACCTGAATGAAATCAACTAATCAGGCATATTTGATTCATTCTTCTACATTCATATTGATGATATTATTAGATCGGTCTGATGCTTGAATGTTGCATAACTCTCGTATTTGCTATCTTGATTTGCTGTCATGATGTGTGTTGGTTCATCTGACCTGGAAGATATCAACAGAGTTGTCCATCAAATATTTGCATGATGGAATAATTTTGTATGAATCTGTAATGCTAATATGTTGTTACTTACAATGAACTTTATTCGCAGAGTTTTGTACTGGAATTTTTCACATTTATTAACCCATCCTTGATATCATGAAATCAACAACTTCAATAGTTCTTTGCTGGACGCTAAATCTGAGCAATCCAGTAGTGTGAAGTGGCTGATAAGGATAATAGCCAATTTGATGTTGTGCCCACAGTAGATTCACTGTCGGTCAAAAGGTATCAAAGGTAAGGTGATTACGAAATGGAGGTAATGTTATTAGGGCGCTATAATCTTGTCAACCATGGATTGCATTAATAATTCAAAGCCTTGAACAGAGTGCAATATGTGAAAACTGCCAGCCGTTGTCAAATATCCCTTCTTGGCGTTATGGAGGTGTGATTGGAGTTGAGCATCAAGATTGTTCAAATTATCTTTAGCATGGGAAATTTCCAATCAGCCACACTTTGGACCTCTATAACACAATGCTTCAATGGTCAACAAAATCCCTGCCTTGATAAGTTGCCAGCTATTCTCTAGCTTGATGAATCTATGTTTACCTGTGAATGTGCTTTAAATTGCAATGTCAGATTGTACTGATGCTCCGTTGTCTTTTCAGTCCAAATACATTTTGATTATATGACTCTGATACCATTCTTTATTTTTTGAATAATTTAGGAGGATCGCGAAATTGAAAGAGACAGAGTGTCAACTTGCTGTTGAAGATGTCTTGTACATGATAATCTTGTACAAATTCTCTCAGATTAGAGTGCCTCTTGCTCCTAGCCTCTCTGAATGCCTCTACAATGGAAGACTGGAGATTCTACCTTCCAAGGACTGGGAGCTAGAGTCTATTCATAGCCCAGAGGTCTTGGAGATGGTTAGGGAACATTTGAGTACCGCCCTTGGATGGAAGGCAGGCTCCAGTGTTGCTGTCAACTGGTCCCCAACTAAAATCCGGAGACAACATCTTAGCCAAATTTATGCAACATCTATCTTGTACGGCTACTTCTTGAAATCTGCTTCTCTGAGGCTTGATTTGGAACAAAGCATATCACCAACCTACCAAAACGTTCCTTTTGGCAGTTGGACTCCTCCAGAATTTCAGTCCTATGGTTCTGAGAATGTCATGCTTGGTCAAATGGTCACCCCAAGTTCCACTACATTAAGCCAGGTCACTAGAACACCCAGGAAGAAAGAGGCGAATTTAAGGTGCTATGTGACAGGTTTTGACACGCTGACAATGGAGCATTGTGCAAAACTGAAATCAGAGGAGTCTGCTGAACTTGTTGACAAGCATTGTCGGGCACTATTTGGGAATACTAATGCTGAAAACAATGATATGATCTTAACATCTTTGTCAAGCTTGAAACGATTGGTGTTGGAGGCAGTTGCTTTTGGGTGTTTCTTATGGGATGCGGAAGAGTGTGTCAACAGGATATATACTCTCAATTCTCAAGGATAGATGTTGAAGTCCTTTTAGGCTGATTTTGTATATATGGAGGCTGTTTGGCTTTCGCTCTTAGCCCACTATTAGACGTACAATGACTTGAACAAGCGGCGCTCTGCTGCTTCAGCTTCTTCTGTTCTGCTCTGCTCGCTTCGAGATGTATATAGTAATATAGTATGACAGTTATTTAGTTAAAACACAAGTATGTATTGTCGGGTGATGTAAATATTCTCCTTCATCTTCCACTTTGGCAATCCATTGAACAGTTTAAAATCGCATGTGATCAGAATTGAGTAAATATCTTTTGTTTGTTTGGGCCACCCTTTTCTTTTATTCTCGTCAGCCCATACATCAAGACTAGCCCAAATATAAAGCATTAGTAATGTACTTATACTTGTGAATTTTTTACCTAAAGAGCCGAGACTTGGGACTAGGGACTTGGGACTTGGGGAGTAATATGTAGTATTATCCTCGTTCTTTACACCACATTCAAGTCATTCACTATACCAAATTGCAAACCTAGGTGGGTTAGATCACGAGTTCGAGCCTCACAAACTACATAATATACTTGGGAGTAGAAATTATCTTATCTTGCCCACTAGTCCTAAGCGTTGATCTGCGTAACTGGACTGACTTATAAACTCTACTTTAGAAGATACTAATTTATTTTATTGATTCACACACTACAGGTAAGGTTAATTTCTGTGGCGATTATTGCAATATAAAATACCAATTATAATTGTGATGAAATCATTCCCTACATAATCTTTATTACAGATCCATTGTTTTATAGCCTTTGATGTCGATTACTAGGTTAAACGCTATGAAAAGTTACCTCCTAATCTCCCGTCATACCAGCTATTATAGAGATTATTTTCTCCATATATTCTTAGTGCCTGTTTTCATACGTTTATTTTCAGTTCAGTTTAGTTTAGTTCAGTTCAGCTCCTAATTTCCTTCTCTTATATAATATTCATTTCATTTCAGTTCAGTTCAGTCAATGAGAACAGACCCTTAATGACAAATTGTACATAAACTAGTTAGGGCCTGTTCTCATTGACTGAACTCAGCTGAACTGAACTGAATTGAGCTGAGCTGAACTGAACTGAATTTTAACGTCCTTAATGTGGCAAATGAATTGTTGCGAAAGCTTCTTTATGGTATGGTCGTATTGAATATAGTCGATATCATTAGTTGATTATGGCAGATTGGCAGCATATGTAATCAATACTATAGAGTATTTGATACTAATTTTTCATAGCAAAATTCATTTATGCTATTGGTTATAAAATCAACTCAAATACACAATTGCAAGGACAGCATATCATTGAGAGTTTATCGTGCCAATTATAATCACAACTATAAAGTCAAATAGTTTGTTATCATTAATTACAATTACAATCATAATTATGGAGTCAAATTAATTGTAGCATTTAGTGTCTATATACACTAAGGGCATGTTCTGAGCTCAGTTCAATTCAGCTCAGCTCAACTCTTAATTTCCTTCTCTTATAAAATATTCATTTCAGCTCAGTTCAGTTCAGTTCAGTTCAGTTCAGTTCAGCTGAGTTCAGCCTATGAGAACATGCCCTAAATTGATTGGATTAAACTGAACTTATTGCAATATAAACTGAACTTATTGACTGGATTAAACTGAACTTATTGCAATATAAATTGTTCAAATTGACTGGATTAAACTGAACTTATTGGAGCTGAACTGAACTGAATATTTTATGAGAGAAGAAAATTTAAAACAAAACTGAACTAAATTGAAAATAATCTGAAGAGAACAGACTCTTAATGTCACGAATATGAAATCACCTCACATTAAAAAGACTTTAGTATAGATTATTATAGAGTACTATTTAATTTTTTTTTTTATTATTTTTTTTTTAAAAAAAACTACATATTAATACAATGATGCAATCTTTGTAAAGCGAAGATAACATGACTTTAATTAGCGAAATTTTTACAGTAAAAAGACTCACTCTTTATCATCGTAACAACATTACGGGCCTTGAAATTGGAAGACGATATACCTAATACATCAACCACATATTGACTTGAGCAGCAAAAAAGATTTGCATCATTTTTGGTGTACAAAAGGAGACAATCTTACACCTACAGTCAATTGGTGTACAAAAGGAGACAATCTTACACCTACATTCAACCGTAATTGGGGTCCCCTGAATACATGCCAGTTTTGGTGTACCTGTAGTCAGTAGCTCACACTACTCAAGTAGTGTAATGTCCTTTTTTATTGGATTCTTTGGATTTTATCAATTTATCATTACTCGTATCACCATGCATGTACTCCCAAATGTGTAATAATTTTTCATTCAGAATGTTAAATTCAATTTCAGATGTCAAAAATGAATAAAAAAAATAAATTAAATAGGATGAATTTCTATTTAAGTACTCCAAATCTCCCATCTATTTGGAGGTATTGTTCATGTATAAACACCAAAGAGGCTACATCTATGTGACACATGGTGACATGCACCACATATGATTAAGCTTACTACTCCATCCGTCCCTTATTTTTGCTCTATTTGACTTTTTACGGTCTTCAAGACGCGTCTTTAAACGTATATATCTTTATTTCTATATGCATAAATATTATAAAAATTTGATGCTAATAAACTATAAAGACGATTATAACAAAATGCCACATGAATATATTATCACTTATAGATTAACGAGAATTCATGGTTAGAGTTTTAAAAGTTTGACCCATATTTTTGCAATGAAGCAAAAATTAAGGGATGAAGGGTGTACAACACAAAGAAGATTTCACTTTCATAGTATTCCCTCAAGGTAAGCGATATATAATTAAGTTAACTCAAGGTTATAAGGTATAAATAAGGTATAATGTTTTCCACTAGACTAAACATGTGTCATGCATATCACATACGGAGTACATTGTTGCTATGTGTTAATGTGTGCACTGTGGCACACATAGAAATCAAATTCTACTCTGTAATTTTTAAACATGGTTTATTTTCTTAAACAGAGTAACACAAACAATCAATACAAACTTGTCAAAATGACCAAGTAAAACATCCAATAGGCAAATTAAACAAATAAATAGTTTTACAATTAAATAAAAATCTTGATTGTGTTAAATGGTTAATGACTTTTAAACTCAAGGGATTGTTGCCTTGACATAACTTGAACGAATAATAATCCCGATCATGCCCTGAAAAAAAATTGATACTCTCCTCGCTCTACTATACTCTGTATTTAATACAAGTACTCGTATTTACCTTACAATATCAAAATAAAAACTACTTCCGTTAAATGTTATGTGCAACTTTGAAATATTTTATATCTCACAAAAAATACCCCTAAATAACACGTAACATTTAACGGAGATAGTAGAATAAATTAAACGAACTTGAAAGGAACAGAAAGAAAACGTGAAAAAATTTGAAAATGACTGGACTTGGTGTCAAATTCAGGGACCAAAAAGAAAACTTTCACGGCAAGACAAAAATAGACGGAGATGGAGTGCATTTTGCTATGTTGCTTTGGCGTGTTAACTTGGCATCATGCTTATTGGCCCCAAACATTCACTACTCCATTACACTCATAAACCATTAACACATTTACCTAGTGTTTTCCAACTTTCTTTCATTTTTTTTGTCGAAATTCTACTAAGATTAATACTCGCTAAAACAAATAATTATAATAGGATAAATAATTTGAGATGAAAAGATAGTTGAAATAACTTTACAAACATATTGATACCTTTTATAAGAGTCAATTATTATAGAATTTTAATCTCCTTTTTACATCGTGAGTTGAATTCGGTGCTATCTAATGACACAAATTGGCATGCATGCCAAAATGATTCAACTGCTCTTCAAGAGATAACAAAATCTAATACTTTTTTGCTGAGATCAGCTAACTTATACTAGTACTCAAACTTCTATACAATGATCATGAGTATAATTAACGAGTTAAGTCTTATTTTGTTCATCTTATTTTTACTTATTCAATTCTAAAAAAAATAAGGTTAGATAAATTCAGGAAATATAAATATATTTTTATAAGGGTTGGTCAAATTCAAATTACATTTAAAATAATTCTGAAAGGTATAAAAAGTTTAAATAAGTCACACTCGAGTACCCTTACGTAGTTCGTCATATAATATTGTATATAGTTGGCATTTTCCTACCAATTTAATGCAATTCAATCTTTTGAGTTGCAAACATTTATATTATGTTAGCAAGTATTAAGGAATAAAGCATTTTTTAAAAAATTATTTAATTTTCTACTCATATTTTTGATTGAAATTTATTGACCTTATACCCCATATTTTGATAATTTCAAACACATTAATAAATTATTTATAGAGGTTGAGGTGATAAAGTAGTGACATCATTTTCCACCTTAGATCTCCGAGGCAGTGAGGTTCAAATAAACCTTATGTGACTCATTTGAGATATTTAATTTTTTTTTTCTCCTCATTTAATGAGTCAACTATGCATAATATATTTAATTATAAATAAGAAAAGTTTACAAGTAATACCAAGTACACTAAAAAAAAATTAGTCACTTGTAGATAACTATCACATTTAAACCTACCCTTAAATTAAAAAAGACCATTATCACCACCAAAACCAACCTAACCATATCTTTCAACGGTTTAAACTACACTTAAAATACAGTATTTGTACCTTTCTATGAATCACCCTTAAATTACTACATACTTTCTTCCAAACCAAACACCATTTTATTTTACAAACAAACAAACCAAATATAAATATTGCATTATTCTTCTCAAAACTTCTCCTTTATTTCTCTCCCAATTCTCAAACAAATAAAAAAAAAGTTCTTCAATTATTTGAAGTAATAAAGATACTAGTCTAACATGTTAACTCCCTTAATTAAGCTAATCTTCTTAATAATAAACACCTTTTGCAACATAATTACCAAAGTATTATTCTCAACAACAGCCTATTTCGTGGTTCTTATAATCCATGCATTAAAGGTTCCAGGAGAGGCCACCAAGGGGATACTAGAGCAAGCAGCCGACGCCTTCCGTTCGGTCCTCGAGTCCGTGTTCGGGTTTATAATAGAGGTGATCATTACCATAATATCTACCATTTTTGATAAGATTAAAGATGGGATTATTGAGTCTATTGTTTCGGGTTCGTCTGCTCTAGGAGAAATGATGGATCAAACAAAGAATTCTTTTGAAGGTTTGTTAAATGATGTTCCTGAGATTATTCAAGGATTTTCTGAGATGATTGTTACTATGATTACTGATTTGTTGAATAATTCTATGGAAGCTTTAGGAATTGTTCAAGAAAATGCTTGAATTGATGCAATGTATTACGTATATTATATTATGTACATTTTTTTTAAATTAGTTTTTGGATGTCATGTAATTAATTATGTGATTATTAATTTGGTGGAGGATAGTAACATTTTTGTCTAATTAGATTTACCAGCTCATACGTATAATTAAGTAAATTAACCATTTCATTAATTAATTGATTGCTTGGAAGCTTCGTTACGTTCATTTATAAACAACCATATGCATGAAATAATATATACATGAGGTTTGGTTTGACCAACTCTTATATTAATATTTGTCTTCTAATTATTTTTTAATTTTTTGGTCATTTGAGTCTTGACTTGCTTCCCCAACTTTGGGAAAATTGTTCAATGTAATTGTTGCATAACTTGTGAGGCACGGGTGCGGAAAGCATAACTTGTGAGGCAGGGGTGCGGAAATTATTAACTACTTCATCTGTTTCATAATGTTTTTCATCTTTTCGATCATAATCAAAATGAATTATGGATCTTCATATGATTATATCTGATTTATTTTAATGTAAAGTTTGGTTATATCTAGAAAAAATTAATGCATCATGTTATATGTTAGTTATAAAATTTAAATCTGACAAGTGGCATTGATGATTGACCCCATTGGATTAATCTAGGAGAAATTAATACATTAGTAGTAGTGTAATTATGTAAAATCTGACTATGAAAATTATTGCATTGTGTACGGATAGGAGTGCACAATAAATAAATGAACCTTACAGTATATTGCAAGGGCCGAGGATGGATGTATAAGTTGTTATAACAAAGTAATATCACTAGTATGTAGAAGTGTACGTGTATAGACTTGGATACAATATTTAGGCACTCTTTGGTATATAGGAGGGTGAAGGGTGTAGAAATAGAGGTGTCAAAACCGAACCGATCCGAAAAAATTATCCGTTTCGAACTGTAATCGATCTGATTTGATCCGAGAAATTTAAGACCCAAACCCGATCTGTAACCAAACTGAACTCAACCTGAATTCGAACTTGACCCGATCTGAACTTAACCCGGCACCGATTTGATCCGACCTGAACTCAATTCGAATCCGATTTGACCCGACCTGAACTCAAACCGAACCGATTTGACCCGACCCGAGCTCAACCCGACCCGAAATTGACCCGAAAAATAACCGATCTAATCCGATTGTTTTTGGCCCGAACTGATATTAACACGTTCCGATTTTAACCCGATTTGATTTTTACCCGATCTGAATTTAACCCGATCATAATTAATTATTTAATTTTTTATCAAGTTCTTATACTATATATTTACTAATTATTAAGTTAACTTTTTTACTACAAAGAAATAATCCGGAGTCTTATGTTTACTTCATGTACATATCAATTATATTAATGTACTTTCTAAGCTTTAATAAATGCCACAAGATCTAATAAACCTAAACATTAAGCGGGAGTTAATTGATTTGCTTGTAAAGCTCTAGTTAAATGCTGCCTAAAGCCTATTGTCATTTTTAATGAATTTCCTCCCATTCTGTTATATTTTTATTGACCCAATAATAAGGTAAAAACTAAACAATATCTCTAGTTTAAAAATAACCTTATTTGGATATGAATTTGGTCAACTCGACCAAAATCAAGCCAAACACAAAAAGGAATTGAACCGAAATTGACCGAACCGAAATCAACCTGACCCAAATTCATCCGACCCGAAGTTACCCGGCTAAACCCGTTTTAAACCCGATCCAAATATATCCGAACCGAAAGTGAATCGATCTGAAGTTGACCCGACCCGGACTCGATAGCCCATGACCCGAATTTGACCCAACCCGATTTTGACCCGATCCGACCCTATCCAAGTTAAAAGGATAATTTTGAACCGAACATATCCAACCCGAATAGACCCGACCCGAATAGACCCGACCCAAACTCCATCCGGTTATCCGAATTGACACCTCTATGTAGAAAGGCATATTGTAGGTCGCTTGTTTGAAAATTTACTTGGTTACTACCAGTGGCGGATCCAGGAATCCGAACTAGGGGTAGCACTAGACAATTATAATAAAAAAAAAGTATAACATTGTTGTAACGTATCATAATATATAATCAGCCAAACATGGATATAATGCGTTGTGTAGTCATATAATAATTAACAATCAAATTTAGACATTTATATTGACAAGTTCAATTATATTGTGGATATGGATTATAATATTATAAACTTTCTACCTGTTTATTTTTTATTTTTTTTTTGTCAAATTTACATATGAATTCATAGTGAAAAATTTGGTATAAATTTTTCCTTGTGCACATATGCTAATGTAAAAATTTGACTGAAAATATCTTTAATAATTAATCTTATAATAATTGAATATTAAAGTAATAAATTTGACGATTCCAACAAGTACCCACATGAATATATTTATTGTTATGTATAAATCACAAATATTAGCTAAAGTGAATTAGATAAATTGTACAAAAAGTCAAAACGTTTCATTTATTTAAACACAGTTGGAGTATGATTTTTTATATTTATTTCAGTGTAAATTTTCATACGATTATAAATAAGATTTAATAATGGCCAAATAAATGCAATAAATATTATGTAATGAAATTGAGAAGAATGTTATAAAATATAACAGAGAGAGTATTTTATATTAACATGACTGTTTATAAAAAGTGTGAAAATGAAAAAAAAAAAATTTTAAAAAAATTGATGTTATGGGGTCTCGAACCCTGAACTTCTTAAGCAAAGATTGTTCACCCATCCAACTCCCTAAGACCCTAACCACTGAAGCAATGCTGGAGTCATTTGATAATATTACAAATTATAATATATATACAGATATAAGGGACGCTTTTCCATTTTTTTTTGGTGGGGGTAGCACGTGCCCCCCCGGGCGTCAATGTGGATCCGCCACTGGTTACTACGGAGTATTTGAACTTGTTAATGATTCGTTTGGCATTACTGTGAAACACAAAAATAATATAAAAGTCAAACTATTTTAATTTAAAAAAAAAAAAAAAAAAACAAAAGAGAGAGGAAGTATAAAATTTGTGCTCATATTGCTTAAAAAAAAAGTGTGCTCATAAAATGGCTCAAAGTCTTGACACGGTACTGCTCCCAAGAGTCCCAACCCAAAATTGATGGAAGCCATCAAACTTGAATAAACCCAATCTAAACTGGAAATGACCAGACTTCGTGAGTCACTTTAAAATTATAACCTAAACTCTTCTGTAAGACAACTAACCAACCAATTGGCGATTTGGTGCAGTGATAATTAGACCTATACTTGATATGGAGTACTCAGGTTCAATCACAAGTAACAATAATTGAAAGGGAATTAGTACTTAACCACCTTGAAACGAACCCTAAATCGGAATAGAATTTGTTATATGCACCATACAACCAATGAAGGCCCTGCTCACTTCGGTTTGAGTTTAGTTCAGTTCTAAATCAAAATCCCTAATTCAAGGTTAATTTTTGTTCTAAATATAGTAAAATAAAAATCATTTATCAAAATTAGTACGAGTACAAAATAAACATGGATGTACCGAACACTCGGGTATTTGTAAAAGTATCTCAAATCAGAATAAGCCTAACGGGTGAAACACCAAAATGGTTGCACGCCTTGAAGTCGCAACATCCTGAAACTTCCAATGATTGTCAATGTTCTTCCATGGCGGCAGAGACGACTGACCTCATTAAATTCCACTTTGAAATTTCACATCGTAAATTGCATTCATTTGCTGAATAAATACCACAACTCCCCAATTAATCCTCCTCCAAATTCAGAGGAGCAATGGCACCCAAATTAATGAATGCTATTCAGTATTTTGGCTATGGTGGTGGAGTTGCTGCATTAAAGGTTTTTTCTCCCCTTTTTTTTTGGGTTTCTTATAGTAATTAATCTTGCAATTCCCTTTATTTCAATGATTTTGCACTTGGGTTTTTATAATACTTTATTAATCTCTGATTTTCTATCTGAGTTTTTAATTGGGTATGTAAGGAGATAAATTGAAGTTGGAATAAAGATGCTAATTTATGATTTTTAGGATTAGAGAATTATCAAACTACTATTTCATTTATGTGCTGTATTAATTGAGAGATGATGGAAAAACTTGTAAAACATAGAATATTCTTGGTTGAATACTGCAATGAATATATCACTATTATACACGAAGTATATTGTATTTTGAACATATTATCAATTAGCTATATTAAAGATAAGTTTGATGGTTATGTTCTGATCTTAGCATACAACATTTGTTATGTAATTTATGTACTTGTATGCAATTATGCTCGAATATTCAATAAAACAATGGTACAAAGAATTCTTGTTCCTCCTATGAATTGGTCACCCTAGAATAAATGTTGTACAAAACTACAAAGAATAATTTGAAAAGATATGGTTAGGAGTTTTACTGTTTTAGGACTAATGAGTAAAGGATTATTACACTTGTCTGTTCTAATCTCGTTTTAGACCGAAAATTGCTGAGATATGGGGTTGAAATGTGGTGATTAGAGTTCAGAACAATTGCTACTTCTTTGTTGGGTTGAATCCTTATGATGTACTAGTAGGTTTTTAACTTCTTATACCTGCCTTCAGCAAGTCTTCTCATAAAGGTTGTTATCTATGTTTCAGCGTGTTAAGGTTGCTGTTCCTGATCCAAAGGCTGATGAGGTTCTGTTAAAAGTTGAGGCTGCATCTTTAAATGCATTTGATTGGAAGATACAGGAGGGCATACCTCGACCCATATTACCCCGAAAGTTCCCTTATATACCAGGTTTGTCATACTGCATTTTTTCTTAATTTCAGTTCTTCCTTTGAGGTTTAACTTCATGCTGTTAATATTGCATTCTTACTAAGCTGTTAAAATTGTCACCTTCCTGCGCCTCTTGTTTTTTCGTTGAGGGCATTGGCATATTTGTTTTGTTCTTCAACCCCCTTCTTTCCTTTGAGAAAGCTGTAGATTGGGTGGTACTTATTGGTGTCCTCTCTTTGGAGAATGTTATTTACTGACATTTAATGGAGATCTCAAGGTTTAAACCATATAATATAATCTTTTAGTATTGCATAAGTGTCTAAATGTTCAGAGTATAATACCAGATTCAGGATACACTTTTAGTTTTGAATTGCTATATCGTTGTCCTTATCAGTTATCATTATTATTCTCCTGAAATTGCCATGGCCACCCCATTTCTGTAAAATGTTCTCATTGCATGGACTAAACTTTTGCGAAATAATGATTTCTATTAAAGCCAAGATGATAACCTTGCAAGATTCTTCAATTATTGCTGAAGACCACCTCTTTTTTGGGTTCAGGAACTGATGTTGCAGGGGAGGTAGTCCAGGCTGGATCTTCTGTAAAGAAGTTTAAAGTTGGTGACAAGGTCCTGGCCTTGTTTAGCCATGCTGTAAGTTTCTTGCTGAGTTGCTTCTAATATCCTTGTGCTTTTAATTGGAAATATATAGTTTTTTAAACGATGTGGGGAAAACCAAAGTTGTGACTGATTTTTTTTGCGACTGACAGACTGGGGGTGCACTGGCTGAATATGCTGTGGCAAAGGAGAACATAGCAGTTGCTAGACCCCCAGAATTATCAGTACCCGAAGGCGCTGGCCTACCTCTTGCTGCTCTTACTGCTCATCTAGCACTTACCCATGCAGGCATCAAGTTTGATGGAAGTGGTGAAAGGAAAAACATATTGATCACAGCTGCATCAGGGGGTGTGGGTCACTATGCAGTGCACATGGAAAAGCTTGGAAACACACATGTAACGGCAACATGTGGGGCCCGTAACCTAGAGTTTGTCAAGGGATTGGGCGCTGATGCAGTTCTTGACTATAAGACCTCAGAAGGAGCTTCCTTGAAAAGCCCTTCAGGAAAGAAATACGACTATGTGATCCATTGTGCTATGGGCATCCCTTGGGCCACATTTGAGCCTAATTTGAGTGCAACTGGTAAGGTGATAGACTTGACTCCTGGCCTTGGTGCAATGATGACATTTGCTATGCAGAAGCTAACATTCTCTAAGAAGCAATTGGTGCCTCTAATTCTGTCTCCAAAGTTAGAGAACTTTGAATATGTTGTGAATTTGGCAAAGGAAAGGAAGATTAAAACAGTCATAGACTCGAAACATCCCTGGAGTAAGGCTGAAGATGCTTGGAGTAGGATAATGAGTGGACATGCTACGGGAAAGATTATAATAGAGCTTTGAATAGAAAATACGTATAGACAGATATTATTACTGGCTTAAAGATTTCAGAGCTTTAGGTATGTGATACGAAGTACTTCATACTGTCATACTAGTATATAATCCTCTACTTGGGTTTGTGTGGGTGTCCCATTCCCTCAATAACTTCAATTAGGGTTCATGTCGTTTCATAAGTCACCAGCTCTACTTCTTTAAGTCTAAGTTACACATATCATTGTTCTAAGTATATATGTAGCAACTTATCAAACTAATAAATGGTTTCCACCCCCCCCCCCCTCCCCCTAATATTCAACTTATTTCTATCAGTGAACTAAGATTATTTTTTATTGTAAGATTTGTTTATTGTTAGTATCACCTCCAAAACTGTAAATTGTTGAATAGGCTGACAGTTTCAATTTTGTACAAATGTGGCCATCCTGTAAAATATGTATTCAATCCTTGTCAAATGTCAATAATGTTGAATTAGTGATTTTATATTACGAATACAGTAATTTTATAATAATGTGTTCATATTCAACAATTGTATAAAGGAAAGAAACTCTTCAAAAAATAAGCCAAATACCAAAAACTCAGAAAGGCCTTCTCAAACTGTGGTAAGAAGACTGAGACTTGAAAGAGGGAGTATCATCTGACATCTGACGCGCAAATGGCTTCCAAACTTATGAACGCACTTCAATATTCTAGCTATGGTGGTGGAGCTGATGCCTTGAAGGTCCTTTCTTTTCCTGATATTTTTCTTATAAAAAGTTATGTAAATTTTAATTTCCATCTATTTTGATTGATTTTTTTATATAGATAACTAAGTTGTTGATTTTATATACTACTGTAAAATGAATAGATTAGAGAAATTAAGGTAGAATAACTAATGGGGTTTTGTTTTCTTTTTATATATTTTTAGTTGTATAATAATTTGACTGTTTGATGGAATGATGGACTTGAAATTTGATAAGAATTTACAAATTCAATTGCTTTAGGAATTGAAAATTAGAGCAAATTAGGAATATAATTGATTGAAAAGGTTGAAGAATGATGTATATTCCATTAGGTTGTGGCTAGGAGCATCTACTAGTCTATTATAAACCAAAATTTTTGGGCTCAAATGTTGCTAAAATAATACTTCTGATTTACCAACCAATATGATGTTTTTGGACTTGCTAATCCTGCATTGGAAGGATGCCCACCCTCTGGATTGAAGATACAGAATTTGGCAAATGTGAAATCAATTACATGAATAATGCTTTTATTTTTAATTTTGTGTTTTGCTCATCCTTAAGATATCTTTAGATAACTTTGAGATCATTGGAACTAAATTTATTAAATTGTTAAGATAATGCTGAAACACATGTGAATTAGTTCATCTTGTAGATCTAGTAAATTTCGTATATATACTGGTTTTGAAAGTTTTTATTGGTGGGAAATTTCAACCTTCCTTTGCCATTTTATTTGATGTTTCATATGATTTTTGTTGAACTTTACCTTTGCTTATCCAAGTGTACATATCATACTAAATGAGCTGACTTTTGTAATCATTTATTAGTAGTAAAAAAGGAGAGATACTTTCGAACTTTTGTTCATAGTCTCTAATTTTTTGGTATATGCTGTGTGTTTGATTTATAATGCATTTATTGGGTATGTAAAAGTAACTTAAACAACAAACTGGTGAATAATTCTTGAACCAAATTATGTTATCTTGAAGTCTTCTCATTAGTTTTGTTTATGTTGCAGCATGTTGAGATTGCTGTTCCTGATCCAAAGGCTGATGAGGTATTGGTTAAGATTGAGGCAGCAACACTGAATCCGGTTGATTGGAAGATACAAGCAGGTGCTCTACGGCCCTTCTTACCCCGCAAGTTCCCCGCGATACCTGGTATGTCATATACTCATACTAGCAATGTTGCTATAGTTTTATTTTACACTCTTTGCTCGTGGCTTAACTTATTGCAACTAATATTGTATACTCTTCAAGCAGCTTGATCTTCATCCTTTGTGTTATTTCAAATTTGTGAACGTGTGATTTTAGAATGCACTTGGCTTTTCTTGTTGAGCATTATGTTTGGGGTTTGTGGATGACACTGCGCAATGCACCAGATAGGTGGATGGCACTGCACCTATGAACCCCAATATTTTGGGTCCATTTAACACTCATCTCCTTGCAGGAGTTTATTTCCCTCCCCACTCCTGCTGATGCATAACCTTCAAAAAGAAAAGTTCAGTTCTTGGTTTTCAGTTTTCACTTGACATGTACGACAGTACGAGTAGATTTGTTTATCCGCTCTCTGCTCTCTTTCCTATGAGAAGACTGTGGATGGTGGTAATCGGTGGCTGGAGTTAACCCCCTCTGTGGTGAATTGTGTTTGAACTTGGAAATGTCAAATGTTTGGAGTAGATCAATGCTAGTTTCTTTAGGATGCAGATAATGCTGTTGTATTATACCAGTGTGTTAAATCATACATGCTCAAGAGTTGACTCTCTCTATATTGTTTTATTAAGCTTCTATATCGACATTTTAATTCATTACAGGGTGTACATCAAGTTCGGAATTTGTTATAACCATTTTTATTCTTCTGGAAGAGCTGTGGCTGCGACCATTTTCCTTAAAATTTTCTCAATGTGTAGTATAAAAAGCATAAGAAGGCATAGTACAAATGGTAGCTTATTGAATTAATGTTTATGATTTTAGCTGATCAATTCTTTGCATGGAAGGTGATTATATCTTGCATGATCCCTTGTATCTAAAGATCGCCTTTTGTGTTGGTTCAGGAACTGATGTTGCTGGGGAGGTAGTCCAAGTTGGATCTACTGTAAAAAGGTTCAAAACTGGTGACAAGGTCGTGGCCCTTCTTAGCCATGCTGTAAGTTGCTTGCTTCCCCAACCTAATTCTTTCAACCAGAATAGATTTTTTTTTTAACTCTATGAGTGAGGGGCATGCCGTTCCAGCTATTTTGATCATATTGGCCCTATCCCGTCAAACGAATAAGTGAGCTTTCTGTGGGGAAAAATCAAAATTGTGACTGATTAATATTATGACTGACAGACTGGGGGTGGACTGGCTGAATATGCCGTGGCAAAAGAGAACCTGACAGTTACCAGACCACCAGAAGTATCAGCACCTGAAGGTGCAGCCCTGCCTGTTGCTGCCCTTGCAGCTCATGCAGCTCTTACCCAATTTGCAAACATCAAGCTTGATGGAAGTGGTGAAAGAAAGAACATATTGATCACAGCTGCATCCGGGGGTGTGGGCCACTATGCAGTCCAACTGGCCAAGCTTGGAAACACACATGTTACAGCTACTTGTGGAGCTCGCAACCTAGAATTTGTCAAAGGCTTAGGGGCAGATGAGGTTCTCGACTACAAAACCCCAGAAGGGGCGTCTTTGAATAGTCCATCAGGAACCAAATATGACTACGTGATCCATGGTGCAAGCGGAATCCCTTGGTCCACATTTGAACCCAATTTAAGTGCAACAAGTAAGGTGATAGATTTGACTCCCACCCCAAGTGCATTTATGACTTTTGCGTTGAAAAAGCTGACATTCTCTAAGAAGCAGCTGATTCCTCTTCTTGGGAATCCAAAGATAGAGAACTTTGATTATGTGGTGAATTTGGTGAAGGAAGGGATGCTGAAAACAGTCATAGACTCGAAACATCCCTTGACGAAAGCTGAAGAAGCTTGGAGTAGGATAATGAGCGGTCATGCTACAGGAAAGGTTATCATAGAGCCTTGAACAGATTATTTTGATACAGTCATGCAGACACCATAACTTGCTTGACAGTATAATGGTATATTTTCTTATATTGTGTTTGCATATATTGAAGTTACACTTCCTAATGAGATGTTATTAGGTTTTGGGCACATAATATTTCCGTCAACCAATTTCTAGGCTATAAACATGTAACTTGTAATCTTGTAAAATTAATCACTTTTTGTGTGTGTTTAATTTGCGTGGGATGAGAAGCGAGGGGGTGTTATCAAACATAATATACTCTCCAGTAATTGTACTATGACGTATATTTGTAGCAACTTATCAACATGGCATAAGTAAAATTTAATCTTGTAAACTTGTAATATTGCAACTTATCATAATATTTGACCCATTGAATTCAATACAAATTTATTTATATATCTGTTGATTATCAATTTCAAAACTTTGAATCATTGAATAGGCTGACATTTTCAATTTCGTACAAATGTGGGCATCCTGTAAACTATGTATTCAATCCTTGTCAAGTGTCAAAAATGTCATCATAGTGATCAACTGATCATACTTATAGATGATTTTATAACGAAAATATACTCTCAAATAAGCCCATATTGAAGCACAAATGGCTTCCAAACTTATGCATGCTCTTCAATATTCTGGCTATGGAGGTGGAGCTGATGCTTTGAAGGTCCTTTTTTCTTTTCTTATTTTATGAACTGAATGTTATCTAAATTTTTATTTCCATCGAATTTGATTGATGTTTTTGGTTGGTTTTTCTATTCTTGATTAATTTAGTTATTTTCTTATTTTGTATATGTATGTTTTGGGCTGCATGCAAATGAGAATATAGATTTGGGGAATGATAGTATAATAAACACAAAGTTGTGGATTTTATATATAGAATAACAAATTAGAGAATTAAATTATATTCTTTTTTCTTTTTTTTTTTAATACCAATTAAATTTAATTCTTAGTAGTATAATCATAATAATTTGACTAGTTGATTGACTTGAAATTTGAAAAGGAAGTATGAATCCAATAGTTATAGAAATGAATATAACAGCGAATTAGGAAGTTAATTGATTGAAAGGGTTGAAGAATGAGAATTATTCCATAAGGTTATGGTTAGGTGTATCTACTGGTCTGTAACAGAGTATAAACTAAAAATATGCAGTCTAATATAATGTTTTAGATATAATATGAAGATTAGAATCTAATAGTCTCTACTACAGTCAATTTGTTAAGGGTGATCAGTAACACGTCGTAGGAAGTTGAGTTTTAAACTTGTTAACCCCGCCTTTGGCTGGATGAACACAGAGTATATTTTTTTTTAATGTCGATGCAGTTCAAAGATTGAGAGTTTGGAAGTTATGAAATGAAATCTGTTTGATGATTTATGCTTGCACTTTCATTTAGGTCTTCTCATTAGGTTGAGGTCTTCTCAACAGGTGAATGATTCATGAACCAAAATGTTATTTTGAGGTCTTCTGATTAGATTTGTCTGAGTTGCAGCATGTTGAGGCTGTTGTTCCTGGTCCAAAGGCTGATGAGGTATTGGTTAAGATTGAGGCAGCAACGCTGAATCCAATTGATTTGAAGATACAGAATGGTATTCTTCGGCCCTTCTTACCACGCAAGTTCCCCACAATACCTGGTATGTCATACTCTCATACTGGCGATGCTGCTGTGGTTTATTTACTCTGTTTACACGAGCAGCTTACTCGTCATCTTCTATGTTTTGTCAAACTTGTAATCATGTGAATTTAGATTGTATTTAGCTCTTCCTTTTGGGAATGACCGAATGAGGTTGAGGGATGGGTGGAAGGCACTTAGTTCAACTCTCATATATTGCATGAGTTTACCCCCCTCCCCCACTCCTGCTGATGTATTCACTTCATAAAGAAAAGTGCAGTTTTTGGTCTTCACTTATGTACGTCAAGTTTGACAGAAGACAGAGATTTGCTACGTACTATCATTATTATTCTTCTAGTAGTGTCGTAGCTGCAACCATTTTCCTTTAATTAATCTCAATGTGTAGTGTAAAAGCATAGTAAATTAGTGATATTTACTCTAGCTGGCTATTCTTTGCATGGACGACAATGATTATGTCTTGTATGATCCCTCTTCAGCTTAAGACCGTTTTTCATGTTGGTTCAGGAACTGATGTTGCTGGGGAGGTAGTTCAGATCGGGTCTGCTGTAAAAAGGTTCAAAACTGGTGACAAGGTCGTGGCCTTTCTTAGCTACGCTGTAAGCTTCTTGCTTTCCCATTCTCATTCTTAGCTATCTCAGTCACCTGCTATTTTGACTGAGGCCTATCTCATAAAACAATTAAATCAGCTTTCTGTGGGTGTGATTGATTTATATTACAACTGATAGACTGGGGGTGCACTGGCTGAATACGCCGTGGCAAAGGAGAATCTGACAGTTACCAGACCACCAGAAGTATCAGCACTTGAAGTTGCAGCCCTACCTGTTGCTGCCCTTGCTGCTCACCAAGCTCTTACCCAATTTGCAAACATCAAGCTTGATGGAAGTGGTGAAAGAAAGAACATATTGATCACAGCTGCATCCGGGGGAGTGGGCCACTAAGCAGTCCAACTGGCCAAGCTTGGAAACACACATGTCACAGCTACATGTGGAGCTCGCAACCTAGAATTTGTCAAAGGCTTAGGGGCCGATGAGGTTCTTGACTACAAAACCCCAGAAGGGGTGTCCTTGAACAGTCCTTCAGGGACAAAATATGACTACGTGATCCATGGTGCAAGCGGAATTCCTTGGTCCACCTTTGAACCCAATTTAAGTGCAACAAGTATGGTGATAGATTTGACTCCAACCTCAAGTGCAATGATGACTTTTGCTTTGAAGAAGCTGACATTCTCTAAGAAGCAGCTGGTTCCTCTGCTTGGGAATCCAAAGACAGAGAACTTTGATTATGTGGTGAATTTGGTGAAGGAAGGGAAGCTAAAAACAGTCATAGACTCGAAACATCCCTTGACGAAAGCTGAAGAAGCTTGGAGTAGGATAATGAGCGGTCATGCTACAGGAAAGGTTATCATAGAGCCTTGAACAGATTACATTGATGCAGTCATGCAGACACCATAACTTGCTTGACAGTATAATGGTATATTTGCTTTTATTGTGTTAGTATATATTAATTATTAAAGTGTCACATCCTAATGAGAAGTTATTAGGGTTTGGGCATAGAATATAATCGTCAACCAATTCATTGGTTATAATACTTATAAACATGTAAATTGTAATCTTGTAAAATTAAACACTTTTTGTGTGTTTAATTTGTGGGTGATGAGAGGAAGGGGGTGTAAATGTGTAATTAAACATAATCCACTCTCTGGCCTCTCCTAGTATTTGGTTAAGGTCTCGTTTGTGTTTCTTGTTAACCTTATCAATATCAGTAATATTATAGGCAAAACTAGCTAAAATTGTGTTGTCAAAATAAGACCCAATGCGTTCTAAGGCTGAAATCATTTCGGACCCAAATTTCAAATCCCGTTTTCCGTTATTTTTAAAGTTGAACTGTTTTATTTGAATTGGTCAGCCGCACTAAAAAATGCCGATTTATTTATTTTATACTTAAACATAATTTGAAATTCTTGTAGACCACGCATTCTATTATCAAATATTCAAATGCCAATAGTGTTCATATCATATTCATCGATAGTGATTTTGTAACGAAAAGAAACTCTCCCCAAAAAACACTATGAAAGTCAAATGACATTTACCAAAAACTCAGAATGACAAAGTATCATCTGACGTGCAAATGGCTTCCAAACTTATGCACGCCCTTCAATATTCAGGCTATGGTGGTGGAGCTGATGCCTTGAAGGTACTTTTTTTGAAAAAAAAAATAAAAAATTAATTGTTATCTAAATTTCAATTTATTGAATTTGATTGATTTTTTTTTTTTTTTTTTTTTTTGTTGGTATTAATTGGGTATTTTTTAAAAATTTTGTATATGTAATTCTTGTAATGCATGGCAATTGAAAATGTAAATTGGGTATGATAGTATATAGATAGCCAAGTTGTTAATTTTATACTAGTATATAAAATGAATATATAAGAGCAATTAAGGTGGATTAACAATTGGGGTTTTGTGTTGCTTTCTTTTTATATATTTGTAGTTATATAATTATTTGACTGTTTTGATGGACTTGATATTTGAAGAGGATGTATAAGTTAAAAATAGATCAAAATTGATTGAAAGGGTTGAAGAAACTAAATTTTGGGCCCAAAAGTTGCTAAAATCATCTAATTTACCAACTAGTGTTGAAGTATTAACTATGAAGATTAGGATTTAAGAGATTCTCTACAAGAGTCAATTGATTAGGGGTGGGTAATGGGTAACACTTTGTTAACAGCTAACAATTACTCTCCGTTCTTTATTACTTGACCCCTTTTACAGTATTCACCATTCCTCTTTTGACCGTCTTTTGTGAAGAATATATAAGGAAAAACATATTCATGTGAGATCTTGTTGAATCCGTCTGTATAAGTACTATCATGATATATAACTTTTATAATTTTTAATTGTGGAGAATTAAAGTTATTGATCATTAAAGGTTTGCATTGAGAAGCGTGATAAAAGAAATAGGTAAGTAAAAAAGTATTGAGGAAGTATATAGCTATATTTTGCGGAACACACCTATAAAGTATAAATTTTGATAGATCAATAGAATTTATTCGAGGTTTTATGGCAATTAATTGAACTGTTAAGATAGTGCTGAAACAAATGTGGTTTAGTTCATCATCTGGATTAAGTCCATATTGTATATGTGCTGGTTGTCTGTCCTCTGTCCCCGTCCTTTGGAATTGAAAGTTTTGCTTTTATTGGTTGGAAATTTCGACCTTTGCCGTTTCATTTTATGTTTCATATGTTTTTGTTGAACTTTAGGTCTGCCTATCCAAGTGTACATATCATACTACGTAAATCAGTTAGGGAAAAAAAAGGAGAGTATAATGTTATTTACTTTTGAACTTTTGTTTCAAAAAAAAAATCTATTGGTAAATGCAGTGTGCTTAAAATTATGATGTATTTATTGAGTAGGTAAACAGATGAATAATTCTTAAACCAAAATGTTATCTTGAAGTCTTCTGATCATTAGTTTTGTTATGTTGCAGCATGTTGAGGTTGGTGTTCCTGATCCAAAAGCTGATGAGGTATTGCTCAAGATTGAGGCAGTAACTCTAAATCCAATTGATTGGAAGATACAGGCAGGTGCTCTACGGCCCTTCTTACCCCGCAAGTTCCCCACAATACCTGGTATGTGTAATAGACTAACCTAAGGAGGTATAGTATGCGTATTCTAGTAATATTATTTTACTAGGTTAATAGTCCTTACTCCTTGGTATAAATAGAGAGGGAGGGAAAGAAAATGGTAGGCAGAAATTTGTATTGGGAAACCTAGAGAGTTATGGCCTCGAGCCGTATTTAGAGAGTGATAGTCCTGATAGACTCAAACTATTTTGAGAATGATAACCTAAAGCTATTAACCTAGCTTTTTTAAACCTTTTGCCATTGTCAGTCAATATTGCACTAGTGGTAATCAGTGTAAACTCCTTTTTCACGTGAGAAGACTGTGGATGGTGAATTGTGTCGGAACTTCGAATTCTCAAATGTTTGAAGCACATCAATGCTATTTTATTTAGGATGCAGATAATGGTGTTGTATTATACAAGTGTGTTATATATATGCTGGAGAATTAACTCTCTTTATATTATTGTATGAAGTTGTTATATCGACATTTTAATTTATTACAGGGCGTACATAATGTTCCGAATTGTTCTTACCATTTTTATTCTTCTGGAAGGGCTGTGGGTGCGACAATTTTTCTTAAAATGTTCTCAATGTGTATCTTGCATTGTGGAATTAATGTTTATGATTCTAGCTGGTCAATTCTTTGCATGGAAGATGATTTATCTTGCCTATTTTTTTGTAGCTAAAGGCCGCCTTTTGTGTTGGTTCAGGAACTGATGTTGCTGGGGAGGTAGTCCAGGCTGGATCTGCTGTAAAGAGGTTCAAAACTGGTGACAAGGTCGTGGCCATTCTTAGCCATGCTGTAAGTTGCTTGCTTCCCCGATCTAATTCTTTTACTCAGAATAGATTTGTTGAACTCTGTATGAGTGAGGGGCATGCCGCACCTGTTCTTTTGATTATAGAGGTTCTATCTCGTCAAACAAATAAGTGAGCTTTCTGTGGGATAAATCGAAGTTGTGACTGATTAATATGTTGACTGACAGACTGGAGGTGCACTGGCTGAATACGCCGTGGCAAAGGAGAACCTGACTGTTACCAGACCACCAGATGTATCAGCACCTGACGGTGCAGCCTTACCTGTTGCCGCCCTTACTGCTCACCAAGCTCTCATCCAGTCTGCAAACATCAAGCTTGATGGAAGTGGTGAAAGAAAGAACATATTGATCACAGCTGCATCAGGGGGTGTGGGTCACTATGCAGTCCAACTGGCAAAGATGGGAAACATGCATGTAACGACAACATGTGGAGCTCGCAACCTAGACTTTGTCAAGGGCTTAGGGGCCGATGAGGTTCTTGACTACAAAACTCCGGAAGGGGTGTCCTTAAATAGTCCGTCAGGAAAGAAATATGACTATGTGATCCATGGTGCAAGCGGAATCCCTTGGTCCACCTTTGAACCCAATTTGAGTGCAACAGGAAAGGTGATAGATTTGACTTTCACCCGAAGTGCAATGTTCACTTCTGCTTTGAAGAAGCTGACATTCTCTAAGAAGCAGCTGGTTCCTCTGCTTTTGGTTCCAAAGACAGAAAACTTTGATTATGTGGTGAATTTGGTGAAAGAAGGAAAGCTTAAAACAGTTATAGACTCGAAACATCCCTTGAAGAACGCTGAAGAAGCTTGGAGTAGGATAATGAGCGGTCATGCTACAGGAAAGGTTGTCATAGAGCCTTGAACAGATTATATTGATGCAGACACTGCAAATTGGTTGATACTTGATAGTAATAAACATATAAGTTCATAATTATACAGTGTTTGTAAATATTGAAGGCATACATCCTAAATGGAGAAGTTATTAGGTGCTGGCATGTAATATTTTCGGCATCAATCAATTTCTTGATTATAAACATGTAAAATGTAATCTTGTAAAGTTACTCTCTTATGTGTGATTAGAGGCAAGGAGGGTGTGTTAGTTGTTAAACATAATCTACTCCTGTAGTACTTAATGTTTTTCTTACTTTCTTGTTAACCTCACTAGTAGTTTATAGGTGAAATTCATTTCTTGTAACATGAAGTTATCAATCATGGAAATAATAGGATCAATTTTAGTACTTTTATCTTCAACTTGGTGGTTTTGAGCTCAATCTTAAATAAAGATCTTCTTGGTTTGCTGGTTAGGATAAATGTGTTTTGGAGGGAAATCAGGGGTTTGATTCCCATGACCTCAAAATTATTGAGTTACCCTTTGCCACCAGCCGTTGTACCTAGTGCTGTCAAATTTCAAACCGAAACCGTTTAACTGTCCGAAACCAACCGACCCAAATGAGAACCGAACCGATTAAAAACCGATTTTGTAAAACCGAAAACTGACCCGAACCGTATTTAAGTAAAACCGAAACCGAACCGATCCGAATAATGTCAAACCGTATAAGAACCGAACCCGTTAACAAACCGAACCAGTTTTAAACCAAACTGAAATCAAACCGAACCGAAAAAGAACCGAACCGTTTCCAACCCGAAACTGTTTGAACCGAGGTAAAAACCGTTTACACCGAACCGTTAACAAACTGCAACCCGTTTGCACCGAACCGTTAATAAACCGAACTGTCTATAAATCAAACTGTAATTTCGATCTCACAATAACTCATCAATCATGATTATGAGTTTATGACACATCAATTAGATGATTGAATAAGAAGCATCTAACAATGTGATAGTAAAACAATAATAATTCATTAATACACTAAACTTTTATAATCTACGTTACTTCGTAATACTTCGTAATAAACTAGTAACATCAGTATGACTAAACTTAAAAATAACATGATATGTATTTTTAAAATCGATGAGAATTTGTATATAATATAATGCCTAATGCCTAAATATGAAGTGATGAAGTCTCGGCTTGATATAAAACTTACTAACCAGCAAAAGGTTAGTTAGCAAGTACTATGAAATTTCAAACCAAAATTGTTTAACTGCCCTAATCCAAACGACCCGATTAAAAACCGACTTTTTGAAATAAAAAAACCGTTCTGAACCATAATTTAGTAAACGTGAAATGAAACTGATCCGAATAACGTTAAATCGTATAAAAGGCGAACCCGTCAACAAACCGAACCAAAATAAAACTGAACCGAAAAAGAATCGAACCGTTTCTAACTCGAAACCGTTTCCAACCCGAAACTGTTTGAACCGGTATAAAAACCGTTTACACCGAACCGTTAACAAACCGCAACCCGGCTGTACCGAACCGTTTACTTCTCGAACTGTTTACAACCCGAACCGAATTAAAACCGCTCAAGAATAAACCGAAACCGAATCGAACCGTTAACTATTTAAACCGAACTGAAACCGACCCGCGATACATTTAAACCGATTTCAAACCGACCCGATTTAATACCGAACCGATTTCAAACCGAACCGAACCCAAACTGTCAAACCGTTTTGACAGTGTACCCCATGTGTTTTATTTTTTGGCACAGAAAACTACTTCGTATGAGACTATGAGTCAATAAACACCTCCAAAAGACCAAAATATTCACTCTTAAGACCGAAACTCTGAGTACTTTGTTTTTCCATTCTAGTTCAACTAGGCGCATAATTGCTATTTGTTTGGGATGTATATAAGAGGACTGATTATTAAATACACCACTCTTTTGTTACATAACTGCTATTTACTTACCATGTAAATAGCAGCTATGCGTCAATACTTGACCCTATATTAACATATCTTCGCTACTCTCTAATTCTAGACTTATCTCTTTATTTTACTTAATTTCTTACATAAAATTACACCTAATTTTCTATCTCTCAAATTCGTTTATACAATCAACGATTAGTGAAGAATCTATAGGTAAGTATTTTTTTTTAAAAAAACTTTATCGTATCTCATCACATTTCATCCCCACTTATGAGATTAAGACTTTGATTAATTGATTGATTGAACATATTTTGTCTATAAATTTAATTAACATAGTTTTTACTATAACTTGCTGAAATTTTTTATGATAATATCTTTTGCTATATTTTTAAACTATTGAGATAATTGGCCTTAAAGTGCCGTGAAAATGTCAGGGTTTTATTTTTTGTAATTTAGCATGCAATGTGACAATTGAAATTAATATTTATGAAGTATCATTTTACCAAAATTTGAATTATGATTAAAGGGCCCAAGTATAAAAATTGCATAGGGTGAGCTTCAATAGTTTTTCATAAAACGATCATAACTTTCTCGTTTTTATATCGTTGGAAAGCTCTTGAAACAAGTTATCAGACTTATCACCTCTAACCTCCAACTTGGATCATTTCAAAATCATTTCTAGATTGAAAGATAAGTGTGTTTGAAATCGATCCTTTACCATTTCACTAGATTTCAACGGTCGCCAATAATAATTTCACTTATTTATTTTATATATAGTTATTAGGGTGAGCAAAAATTCTGGGTATTCGAATTTGGAATCGGAACCAGTTAGAAACCGATGGGTCTAGAAATGGAATTGGACCTTGTGGTTTCAATGATGGATAATAAATTAAGGAACCGGTTCCAATTCCAATTCTTGATTTTTTGGACTCGGAACTGCTTGGGTACCCAATTACCCAACATATGTTACACTAAATAAGTTTTTAAAAATAAAATAATGTTAAATGTATCTAGTTAGTAAATTAAAAAAATATTTTTAATACCTTACATAAATAAAATAGCTTAATCCATACATTATTATTATTTTTTTTTGGCGCAGCTTAATCCATAGATAAATACAAGTGTTAGACACTAAAAATTGAAAATAGGATAAAAAAAAAAAAGTATTATAATTTATATTATATTTTAATGATTATATGCATAAGTGGATACTCGGAAGTGGTTCCAATTCCAAATCCTAATTTTTGGGACCCGATTTAACCAATTTTAATTCTGGTTCCGAATTTTAAGACCCGATTCCAAATTCGGATCTTAAAATTTTGACCGGACATCCGATATACTTACCCCTAATAGGTACGGAGTATTAGTTTATTACCGAAATTTGCTCTCCATTTCGAATACCACCCCTAAAACTTTAATCGACAAGGTGGTAACATCCACGATTTTGTACAAATGTGGCCATCCTACAGACCACGCATTCCTTGTCAAATGCGAATAATGTGAATATATGTGATCATATTCATCGACGAAAAGAAACTCTCCCAAAAAATAAGCCAAATACCAAACAACTAAGAACACTTAGACGTGAAAGAGAGAGTATCATCTGACATCTGAATCTCAAATGGCTTCCAAACTTATGCACGCGCTTCAATATTCTGGCTATGGCGGTGGAGCTGATGCCTTGAAGGTCCCTTTTAATTTCCATCGAATTTGATTGTTTTTTGGTTGGTATTAATTGGGTATTTTTTTAAAATTTTGGTTTATGTATTTGTAGCAATGCATGGCAATTGAAATTTTGGAATGGTAGTATATTGTATATACAGTAATACCCAAGTTGTTGATTTTATATTTCGTATATAAAATGAATAAATTAGAGAAATTAAGGTAGATTAACAAATTGGGTTTTGTTTTCTTTTTATATATTTTTAGTTGTGTAATAATTTAAATGTTTGATGGACTTGAAATTTGATTATGATGTGTAAGTTCAATTGCTTTAGGAATTGAAAAATAGAGGAAATTAGTAATATAATTGATTGAAAAGGTTGAAGATTGCTGTATATACTGAGTAATATATTATAAACTAAATTTTGGGACCAAATGTTGATAAAATAATGCATCTAATTTACCAACTACAATATGAAGTTTTCAATTTGAAGATTAGTGATTCTCTCTTCTAGAGTCAATTGATTAAGGGTATTCGTAGGATTTTAAGTTTTGAACTTGCTAATCCGATGCACACCGAGTGGTTTTTGGTTGATGCTGTTTGAAGATACAGAATTTGGGAGTTGTGAAATTTATTACATGAACAATGCTTGTGTTTTAATTTTATGTTTTGCTCATACTAAGATATCTTTAGGTAACTTTGAGATCATTGGAACTAAATTTTGATTGATCAGTATACTTTTATTCGAGTTTCTATGGTAATTGATTAAATTGTTATGATAGTGCTGAAACGCATGTGAATTAGTTCATCTTTTGGATCTAGTCCATTTCGTATCCATGCTGTTTGTCTGTCCTCTGTGCTCTGTCCCCCATCCTTTGGATTCGGAAGTCTTGCTTTTATTGGTTGGAAATCTCGACCTTCCTTTCCCATTTCATATGATGTTTCATATGTTTTTTTGTTGAACCTTAGCTCTGCTTATTTAAGTGTACTTATCTTACTAAGTGAGCTGACCTTTGTAATCAGCCAGGGGAAAAAAAAAAGTAGAGTATAATGTTATTTACTTTCGAATTTTCGCTCAGAGTCGTAATTATTTGATATATACCATGTGTTTAAAACTATGATGCATTCATTCCATAGGTAAAAGTAACTTAAACAAGAAACAGGTGAATAATTCTTGAACCAAAATGTTATCTTCATGTGTTCTCATTAGTTTTGTTTATGTTGCAGCATGTTGAGGTTGGTGTTCCTGATCCAAAGGCTGATGAGGTATTGGTTAAGATTGAGGCAGCAACTCTGAATCCAATTGATTGGAAGATACAGACGGGTGTTCTACGGCCCTTCTTACCCCGCAAGTTCCCCACAATACCTGGTATGCCATACACTCATACTGGCAATACTGCTGTAGTTTTATTTACACTCTTTGCTCGAGTCCTTAACTATTGTAACTAATACTGTATACTCTTCAAGCAGCTTGATAGTCATCTTCTGTGTTATGACAACTGTGTGAATGTGTGATTTTGGAATGTACTTAGCTTTTCTTGTTGAGCATGAGGTTTGGGGTGGGTGGGTGGCACTGCACCTATGAATCCCAATATTGTGGGTCCATTTAACACTCATCTCGTGCAGGAGTTTATCCCCCTATCCCCTCCTGCGGATGCATAACCATCAAAAGTTTAGTTCTTGGTTTTCACTTGACATATATGAGTAGTTTTGTTTATCCACCCTCTGCCCTCTTTCGTGTGAGAAGACTGTGGATGGTGGTAATCTGTGGTAGAAGTTAAACCTCTCTGTGGTGAACTGTGTTGGAACTT